AACGTTGAGTTCCTAGTCATCGAAAAGTGGTAGTCATGAATCGCTTCGCTCCGCTAAAACGTACCAACCGCGTCGCGTTTGACGTGGCGAACGTTTTGTGATTCTGTAGTACTCCCAGCATGACTAACCCAACTGGTGATGGTGCTGTGGGCGGTGGCATGCTGCCTGAAAACGGCGTTGACAAGTTTCTGCAACAGCTCGTGACTGAGGGTAACGGTGGTGCTCCTTTACTGGAAGGGAACGCCGGCCCCGAGGGGTTTGTGAAGAACACATTTTTGGAGTTTGGCGTTGCGAAACCAAGTGTCTTTAATAGAGCGTCTACGTGTCCGCCTGGTACCATGGAGGTTAACGAGGCCGCAGTGGGGAGTATGCCTCCTGTTGGTGCTGAACTGGCAGCTTCGATTGGGCTCGAAGCAGTTACTGAGGAACCTAAGAGTGGCTCGTTTTCTCCCTCTCCTCAAGTGGATACGCCCCCTTTCTCACCAGGGTTCGTCCCCACGAAAGAAGATAAGGGTAGCAGCGGCGAAACGGAGGAAGACCTCACTACGGTTATGTTGAGAAATATTCCGAACAAGTATACGCAGAGTGGGCTTTTGGAAGCGATAGACGAGAAAGGCTTCAAGACTATGTATAATTTCTTTTATTTGCCGGTGGATTTCAAGAATGGCTGTAACATGGGCTATGCTTTTATCAATTTTGCTCATCATGATTACGCGGTCAGATTTATGGAAGTATTTGATGGCTATCAGTTGCCCGCGGTGCGATCGGTGAAAATATGTGCTGTGTGTTGGGCTCGCGTGCAAGGTCTGGAGCGTAACGTTGAACACTACCGTAACTCTCCCGTGAATGAGTTGCCAGATCCTGAGTATCGTCCTTTGTTGTTTGGTGCGGACGGCAGTGACCTCCCCTTCCCGGCTCCTGACCAGAGTTTCAAGAGAGCTAATATGCGGCGTGTATCTGCGATGGTACAGGGTGCTAGTCATGTTACCCATACTGATGGTGGCGTGCGACCTAATAGGCGTCATACCAACAGTAGTGTACCGAACGCGGCCAACAAGCTTTTCATTGGTGGGTTGAGCCCTGCTACTACTGATGAAGATATACGAGCCCATTTCTCACAGTTTGGGCAAGTGTTGTCCTCTACTGTTGTTCGCGACAAGAAAACGGGAATGTCTCGAGGATTTGGTTTTTGCACTTTTGCCAGCGATGAAGTGGCGAGATACGTGCTGGAGCAACGTCATTGGATCAACGGTCAAAGTGTTGGCGTTAGGCTCTATTCCCAGGACAAATGATCCGTGATGTGCGGTAGTGATGCTGTGAAGTAGAGGAAGACGTATCTGTCTTATGCATTCGTCGTAGTCGTCGCGCTTAGTGAGTATAGGTGAAGTCGCTTTGTATTGTTGGTTATTCTCTGCCTGCAAACTGTCGCTGGTATATCTATTTCTGGGCTCAGGAGGTAGCCCTTGTTTATCTATAATGTGAATTGCGTTGAATAGAAGTAAATGGTGCGTGTTAGATTGCTGTGGCCGTTATCGCGATGTCCGGTTCCCTGTTCACTGACGAGCCTGATTACAGTCTGCTGTGGACTGACCAGGAGGCGAAGTCTGGTTATACCTCCTGTGTAAAGGCCGAACTGTGCGTGCCATACTTTTTTAGGGATGTTGGCAGATGCGAACGAAAGTAGTAGAGGAGTTCTTATTGGGAGTGGTGATGGCAAGGAGTCGGTCTAACAAGGAAGTTTTGAGGACTAAGTCGTGAAACTCAGAATTTTGGTGTTGTTTTTCTGGGCGCGTGAATTCGGAGTCAGTTTTGATTTTCTCTCTCTTCTGCTGTGATGAAGTAAGGGTGTATGTCGTCTCATCGCTTGGTATCACGTAGAGTTTCTATTTGTCCGTGGTTTGGTTGCATAAACTGAGCACCCGAGTTATACCCATAACTTGGCAGAAAATATACACTTTATAACATTTAATGAAATATATCCGATGTCTTGTTTTGATTGTTTTTTTGACAGCCGATCACTACTTTATATAGAATCGGAGTATTATGTGGCGAAGTGATATATTTCGTTGTTTTGGTAAATTGAAAGTTCTAATGCTAGTTTGTGAAAGTATGGTTGCTGTTGTTGTTGGCTTGCGTGGGAGGTGCGGAGAGCTGTTGTGAGTGATACTCAGATACCCTGGGGGTGAGCCTATAGGTCGTTCTGGCGTCTTTGATTACCTGTTCGATTTTTACAACTACTTCTTCCCTACGCACTTGTGTCGGAACTTGTAAGCCCAAGCGGGACAGCAGCACACAAAATGCTGTTTTGTCATTTGTTTTAGTATCCTCACATATAGGGACGTGACGGGGAAGAATCCGCGCATGTCGGATGTGGATCGGCGATCGGATTGTGTGACACGGTGCGACAGGCAGGCCTGGGTGGAGTGGAGTAGATGGAGATGTCATGAACGTTGCTGGGATAAGTTCACGGCAGTACCTGATAACGAGGTGAACGGCGACGAAGATGACAGTAAGTGATGTGTTGTTTCTGATGGGCACGGTTTTATGATTATGTTGAAGTTATCTTTTAAATTGTTGGTGTTGTTGTGTTCTCAGTGTGCATCGAACTTTGCTGTGTGTATTACTTAGTTCTTCCCTATTGTTACCAATTTTCTATCTGCGAATTACTACAATGACATCCATACGGTGTGCGGTCTTGAGAAGGCTGTAACGAGGAGCTGGTCGGCAGTTTCGGTCGAGTCGCAGGTCCCCAGACGCGAACTGCCACTTCTTTTAGAAATGGAAGAAAGCAATTACATCACTCGAGGTGCTCGAAAAGCGACGGGTGGTGGGTTACCTTGAAGGAGGATCCACGGTTCATAGTTGACCTGGTCATTGTGTATGGATCGGTCATTGTTGATTTTTGGGTTATTACGGTATTTCGACAGGCCGTTGGAAGCCTTGGAAATGGAGGGCTGGGCGACAGCGTTGGTACCTCAATGCCGATGACATTCTACGCCATTGGACAGCTCATCACAGCTCTCATCTAGGGGCCGCTTTCAGAGCGTTACGGCCGTAGATTCGTCGTTGTTATTGGCTATACGTTCGCTTGCATATTGTATATACTTCTGGCCTGCGCTTCGGATTACTGGTCTTACGCCGTATTCCGATTCTGTTGTGGTTTGTCAACTGGGAATAGGCCTGTCGTCTTTTCCTATTTGGAGACGTCGCCAAATGCCCTTCTACTCTGCATTTGTATCTATCATGGTTGCTATTGGCGCGATAATGCCAATGGTTGGTGATACGTAGTGGAGAGCTCCTGCGTGCTTTGGTGCGGCCTGGACCGGCCTCTGGTTGTTATTTGCATCATATGTTTTAGATATCCGAAGTTGGTGGCGGTGTTAATGTCCTTCCCTAGTATGAACACGTTTATGTTCATCGTTGTATTGTACATGTTCACTTGTACTTCCACGATACGCGAACAGGTCCATCATCGCTATCTTGCGTGGTTGTTGGAGAACGAGTTGGGCATGACGTTGGCCCCATTACGGGCTCGCAGTCTACCCCGACTTTCCTTAGTCTGATGGTTCTGTTCATGCCGTTGTCGAGTTGTGGAGTGCCCATGCCTCTGCTAGCTTGTTTGGGTATGATCTCCCACTCTGTCATGATAACAAAGTTGGTGTAGTATTCCTCGCGTATTGCTTTAACTTGGGCAATTCACTCGCACATGCGTCCGTGCCGGTGATCACCAAGCTGATCACACCAGCGTCTCGGCGTGGCTTCGTCAATTCCATCGTCCTCTCGGCCACATTCGGTGTGGGAATGTTTGGTCCTCTTTTCAACATGTGGTTGCCATTACCCTTCGTTGTGTGTTTTTGTCGCCATTTGTATGCTTTTCTGTTGGAGGTTGGCCCCTATTCTTACGAAGCGGCTAGAAGAGGGTTCGAGTTAAAGTAGACTAGTGAATTTCTTAACTTTTATGTTGTTATTTTCTGCGTCTTTCCTATCAATATGCTGGACAGCCGTCATCATTGAGGTTAGTCCTGTTCCTGCTACTACTTCTGCCTAGTTTTGTATGTGCTACTGTTAAAACTGTTAAAAAATCTTCGCCCACTTTGATGGATGTTTTCTATTGGTCATAGCCAGACGGTTTTACAGTTCGTCAAAGGTTAGGGCCATAGGCATGTGGAAAAGTAGTGACTTGTCTATTATCATCTATTCAATGGAGATGATGAAAGTCGAAGTCAATCGTTTTG